TTTGATCAGCTGTGTTTCGTTGTCTTGTCTTGCACAGGATCTCGCGCGATTTCACGGTAGCTGTGGTACGAATTTAGCTATCCGCGAACCAACTGGTGTTGATTACTGCGATATGTGACAGCGAATTATAACATCTATATAACATTAATGATCAATATCAGTAATAACAATAATAATAATAATAATAATAATAATAATAATAATAATAATAATAATAATAATAATAATGGTAGTAATAATAGTGGTGATAACAGCAATAGTAATAAAAATAATAGTAAGCCTCCGTTTCTATTTTAGTTTTCAACTTTGTTTTTCCCTTCTCTTTCTTTTCCCTCCGTCTTCTTTTCCTCCTCTTTCTACTTTCCTGCATTCCTTTCGTAAGGCAGTATTTTAGATCTCAGAAATAAGAATTTCAGATGTAATTTCAGTATGAATTGGGTGTGATGTTTATTCTAATAGCTTAAGTTACTTTTCCAGGGGTTTATAGCTGCCTTCGTGTGGAGCTGAAACTTAGTCGCGTTTTTTCGTTCTTCCTTCTGCAGCTTTATATTCCATCAGCGATGCTCGTTGGCGTATCCTGGGTCTCCTATTGGATTGACTGGAAAAGCACTGCCGCACGTGTGCCTCTTGCAATTGTCACTCTGCTCACAATGATCACTCAGTCACATGGTAAAGGTTTTTTTTTCCTGGTTTAAATTGATTTGCTTTATCACTTCATCCACGTTTGAGTTACGATCAACATTCTGAAATTAGCAGGACCACCCAGACCGCATGAGAATCTCACGTTAGTGATGTTACTGAGATGCTATTGCACGCAGAGACAGCTACATCAGATTCTTCGATCTTAGGTTCGTCCATTCGATGTATGTACGTCACCTCCTCGGGGATGTCCGAGCAGTCGATTGCTTTCTCGCGAATGCCACTTACTGACGCATTAGATTGCTTGTTAGCGACCTTTGGAAGAAAAGAAATCGACAGTCTCACTGGCTTCTAAGTGCGGCTGGCATATTTTACCGCTTGGGCTACTTCCGAAATCCTCAGCAGATTAATGTACAGTGAATTACTGAGGTTAATATTACAGTTTTTTTCTTTCAGCAATCAATTCGAATTTACCTCCAGTAAGTTATACAAAAGCTATCGATGTGTGGATTGGCGCTTGTGTTGGTTAGTGTGAACTTGATATTTTAAAACTGCTGCTAGTTCATCATCGACTTGTCAGTGGCGTGTGCGACAATCGTGCTGCTTATTTTCCTCATTTCATGGTTGTTTTGACCAATGGTGCATTGCCTGGCCGCTTTTTCTAACATCACTTTCGTCTCCTAAATGGATTACAGGCACAATGGCTGCTCCGTCAGGAGTACTTTGGCAAGGTTTTAGCCACCTGGAAAAGCAGCGATGCGTCAAACACTGCTGCTCCCAAACCATGCTCAGATACCTTGCCGCCTGGGAGTTTGCCACCTTGTCTGTAAAAATTTTTGCTGTCTTAAAATTTTTGAAACAGTTGCCAGTTCACAGATTTATTCCCAAACTATACGGCTGGCAGCTTTTCCAGTTGATTTGACCAATGCTGCGTTGCTTGATAGTCGTTCTGCTGTCAGTCCCGGTGTCGTCCCGTCTCCGGACAGGATCGCCAGCTTAGTGATTCATCTGTATTTAGCAAGGCTGAATCGTTTACGAGATGTCCTTGGCGAGTGCTAAGCATCGTAAACTCATTCCTACCTGAATCACAATGACCTCTTCGGCACCTTATAGGCATTCTTTCTGAATCACGGTGACCTATTCGGCACCCTATGGGCATTTCACAGTGTTATTTGAATACAATTTCAGTATTCATATTTGCATCACTGATCGAATATGCGGTGGTGAACTATATGGGAATCGTAGATGAACATCGGTAAAAAATTTTTTTCTTCTTTTTATCAATTTTGAAAAGTGTTCTATTTGGCGGCCATCAGCTTGCTTTTAGACAACCTCGAAAGAATGAACC